GCATAACATGAAAGATTGTGAAATTAAATGGAAAGGGGGCGGGGCCTCAGGTAATGACTGACGGGCCACTTCGACCCGTCCTGCGATGAAGCTGAGAAATCTTGAGGGCGATAGTTGCGAGTGGAGCCAGCATCACCTGCTCCAAACACAGAGGATGGAGTTAGAGACGTGAGAAGAGACTAAACTTTCAATTTGATCATTTTTATATGAAATAACCTGTGTTCTCTCAGCCGTGTGGCTCAAACAGAACAAAAGTCACCTCGCTGTTTGCTACTTTTACCTGTGTCTCCTCAAAAATGAGTTCCTTCTCGTAGCTGTCGATATAAATGCGAACAGTTGCCCCCTCAGCACCCGTCCCACTGAGCCTGTAGATGATGCGGGAACCATCAGAGAAGATAATCCGCAGTCCCTGCAGAGAACACACACTGTGAGTGCAGGAGACAACAAACTGCACAGGTCCGGTGAACGTCTGAGTCCTGATGGAGCAGAACCCACCTGGTTCCTGGAGATGGTGCTGTCAGCTGGGTCTGTGTACTCAAAGTTGTCGGCTTTTTCCACCTGGTAGATTTTGTCTTCGACAGCAAACCTCTGCTTCACAAAAGATTTGTCTGTGATCAGAATCTCTAAATCCTCCATCATGTCGCACGCTGCGTCTATGTCGACATCCTCATAGTCGTACCTGAGAAATAATGAGTGTTGATTAGTTAGTTTGAATCTTACACTTGTTAGTGTAGTGTCCAAAGAGTTGGGGGGGGGGGGGGGGCCTTGTCTCAGGAATGCACAGATGTGAGGCCTCTCAGTTTCCAGCTTTAGAGCTCGGCACATTTTACCATGTTAGGAAAGAAGAACGCTTAAGGTATACTGTGACAAGATTTATGTACACCTGTGGAAAACCTATAAAGAGCCTTGTACGCCCCCGCTCTTGGCCTTCGTTCTTCATCTTTCTTACTTGGTGAATCATTTGGCACTGAAGGCCACAATTAGGTTTTTTGGCTGTAATCTTCTGAACTGCAAAAATAAAGGTTCTTGCTATTCAATCAGCCTGTTTTTTCAGAGTCCTTTCTTCATTGAGCAACAGCAGTTCCACTTTAACCAGAAGACGTGGTATTTTCCACACCTCATTAGCAGGAGAACTGGATCTATTACTTACTAACACTTCTATATTGTTCTGTTAAATAAATAAGATAAATGCAATTTTATAACCACACTTTTTAGCTAAAGAACTAGAGAGCAGATATGTTGAGTTTCCTTGTAATTTATTTTTTATAAATGAAGACTTTTCCTTCGGTACATTAAAGTCAGCCCACAGGCTCTCTTTGATCCACACCAACAGGTCCACTTCATGCTGTTTGCACTGAGGCATCTGGAGCACAGTGTGGAGTATAGAAGGATTGATGTTATTTGTTATTATCCATCACCACCCTGTGTGTTGGTTTGTCTGTTAGCAAAATATCTCATGAACCAATGGATGGATTGGAAGGAAAGCTTCAGAAAGCCATAGTTAGAGTGACAGCTATGTTGGAGTCAATCCAAGTCAAGATGAAAACTGATCTTAGAAAACATAAAAATGGCTACATTTTAATCAATTTTACAAATATTCAACTAAAATTTGGTCAACACACTCGAAGCGATACATTTTGTATGACATGGCTTTAACTAGTGTTGTAGTCAAGACCACCTAACCCGAGACCAAGTCAAGACCAAGACCACAGTGTCTCAAGACAAGACAAGACCAAGACTTTTAGGGTTTGGATCAAGTCGAGACCAAGACCGAGGGAGGGCGAGACCGAGACAAGACCAAGACCAAGACCAGCTTAAAAAAAAGTGCCCTAAATGATGGAGTATTCTGTACACATGTACAGTTTGGGGAAAAGTATTTGGTGACAGCTAGTAACAAAAATACATAAATAGCAATGACTCAGTTTTGGATTTGAATCAGTATGTTTTAAATCCAATGAAAGCAAAAATGTTAACTAATAAACTGAACAATAATCTGTCTGTTTAGTGATATTTCCACAGTTGTGGACTTGACTGGTCTTGAAATGAAATTCTAAGTCCTCAATGTCCGAGACTGAGACAAGACCGAGTATAAATGCTGTCGAGTCCGAGACGAGACCAAGACCATCAAAAACTGGTCTTGAGACCGGTCTTAAGACCAAGACCAGTTTCAAGTACTACAACACTAGCTTTAAAGTTTAGAATCAGCTCATTTCCTAATAAAAAAAGGCAATTTGTTTATTTCGCCTCATTCGTTTTGTGAAAAAACAAAACAAAACAAACAAAAAGAATAAACGGTTGGTTGTTTAATGCCCACTTTGGATGATTTAGATGCATCCTGATGACCTGAGCAGGGACAGGAACACGATAAAGAGCCCCTGACATCATCTGCTAGCCTGCTACCATCAGGTAGGAGATGCAGGATTACTAAAAGTTGCACATCAAGACTGAAAAATTATTGATTTCCCAGAAATATCATAACTCTAAATTCAAAAGTGCATTAATAGTTTCTGGGTCACTTTTATTGCATATCTTTTTTCACTGGGTATTTGAATTTATATGAATAAATATGTCTTTTTGTGCATCAAATAATGAAACAGCTCCCCAAGTTCAGAACAAGATCTTTTTTTAAAAAAACAAAAGCTTTGAATCTTTAATTGTAAGGAAAAAAACTATGCAATGACATATCTCACCCACTTGATGGCAGCACAGAGTGATTTGATGACTTTTATTGCAGTTCACTGTACACCAACACAAACTGCTGATTACATTACATTACATTTGATACTTTTCTAAATTTCACTTTGGTCTTGTTCCTGGGTTGAAACGATGACTAACCAAAATGTTAGAGAAAAACAATCCCAAATTTTGCTTTTGTGGTTTCAATAATAAATTTACAAATTTGTCAGTAACTATGCTAACTACAGAAACTGCATTTCATATGAAAATGCTGGTGTGAATGCTTTGTGCTGAAAACTTAATCTAAAAGCTGCTGAAATTGAGCTGAAAATATTTAATAACAAAACTGTTAATGCAAATTCAATTTGAAAAGCTAGAAGAAGCAAAAAAGCACAACTTTGCAGAAAAACATAAAAAGGAAGAAAAGGGAAAGCAGAAAAAAGCTGAAAGCTAAAAAAGCTAAATGTAGGAGAAAGCATCTGTAAGAATTATAAATAGCACAAATTAGCAGAAAAAGGCACAAAAACTAGAAGAAAGCAAAAGAAAAACAAAAACAAGCTCATCTATGGTTAAAATAGTAGTAGAAAAGCAAAAATTAGCATAAAATAAGCTGAATGTAGCAGGTTGAACAAGTAGAAATTAGCACCCAGATAGTGAAAATGTTGTAAAAAAATAAAAATTAACAGAAAAAAATGCATAAAAGTACTAAAAACTGACAATTTGTAGAAAAATAGCTAAAACAGCCAAAATTTTATGTAAAACTGCTAAAACATAAGTTGTGTATTTAGCTTAAAACAGCTAGCTTTAGCTAATAACAGCTGAACTTTAGCTAAATTGCAACAAATAGCTGAATATATCAGAAAGCATCTGTAAGAAGCATAAAGAGCAGAAAATAGCAGAAGAATAACAGAAAGAAGCCAATTTTTTATCTGAAACAGCAGATAAAAGCTTAATTTTGAAAAAAAAGTAGCTACAATTTGCACAAGAAAGTGAAGAAGAGAATAAGCAGAACAAAATGTGGTGTTGTAAAGATTTAGAAATATTATAAATGATTTTACTGATGTTGAAAACAGCTCCATTCATTTTCAATGGCAAAAAAGTGAAATAATTAAAAAAAACTAAATAGCTGAAATACCAAAAGTTATAACAGACTTGGTATAAATGAGCTGAACTTTTTGATAAATCAAATCTTGAAATAGCACAAAAATTGTGGAACAAATTAGATGCTGAAAAACATACAGAAGAAAAAATGATCTTAAGTGTGAGTGCTGTGAATAAATCATTCTTTAATTCAAATTCCAAGTAAGCTAGGGTAGTTGTAGTTTTAAAAATGTAGTTTTAGAACATGGTAAATGTTTTAAACAAGGCCAAAAAAGAAATTAGACCATGATGTTTTTAAAAAAACTAAGAAATTTAGCTTTTTTTTAATGAAAAAATCATCCTATGAGACACTAAAGTTTTCTAATGGGCATTTTGTTTTGTTTTGCATCAAAAGCTGTTTGGAAAGAAATATGTTCCAGGAATAAGTATTGTGTGGAATCGTTCAGAAACAAGGCACAATGTGGGACGTGGGACGTGGGACCCCCCCCCCCCCCCCCCACACACACACACCTTGTGAAGTAGTTTCTTCCATATTTTAGCCAGTGCTCCTTCAGAATCTCCTCCACGCTCTGCCGTTTAGTGGAAATGATGGAGAGCCATGCCAGCACAGCCCAAAGCCCATCCTTCTCTCGAATGTGATCTCCTCCTGAAAGTTGATCAATTACATCAAATTTAACACCCACATTTTTTACAGGAGCGTTTCTGATCCAAAAATATGCCTAAACAAAAGCCGTACCTGTTCCAAAACTCTCCTCCCCACACAAAGACAGCATGCCGGCATCCATCAGGTTTCCAAAGAACTTCCACCCAGTTGGAGTCTCGTACAGATCTATTTTGGTTGCTTTGGCTACTCTGCAGGAAATTCAGTGGCAGAGAATTCTTGGCAACAGACATGAAGTCCGACGATACCGACTGAAGCGTGATGAACAAAATGGTCGCTGAAACACTGAGCCGAAGTTTTACCTGTCTAACGCCGTGCTGGTGGGCATGCTGCGAGCGAAGCCCCTCACGCCCGTACGCTGAAAGTAGGGGATGCAGAAGACGTTGTCAGCGATCACAGCCACCGAGTCAGACGGGGCGACGAAGAGACCGTGTTTACCCAGGATCATGTTCCGGTCCTGCCAAGCACACAGAGCTTTGAAATCCTGAACAATAAATACGAGTCAGGATTTTAAAAAATCGTTTCCCTTTAGTGTAAAAATGAGAACATGAACACACCCCATCCCCATCAAATGCTGCACCAAAATCAAACTGTTGGTCTCTCATGCTGTCAACCAGATCTGTAGCGTACATAGGGTGGGGATCGGGGTGTTGACCCCCAAAGTCCTCCATGGGAACACAGTTAATGGCAGAACTGGCAGAACAACCCAACTCGTCACACAGGATCCTCCTCACATAAGGCCCAACCACTGCGGAGCAGACAGAACAGGAAAGAAGGACGAAGATCAGCAAGTCATTGGACAAGTCAGACCTAATATACTGTTAGTGTCTCTACCATCGATACCACGGTTCAGCTGTGTCTCTGTTTCAGGAGAACAATCAGAACAGATCCAATCATCTGATCAGAAATCTCATTTCTGACACTCATATCACTTCTTCAAAAATAATATTAAGTCTGATCACAGCCCCTCTGATTTATCACTCACTGCCATGAAAGGCAGGTGTGTTATTGCTTGTGTGTATGCGTGTGTGTACACGTTTTTTTCTACCTAGTGGGGATGATTTTTGGCCATTTTCCCAGTACACACAGCCTGGTGAGGACCCACTGTTAAGACAAAAGCCTGGTCCCATTGGGAGAAATACTGTTAGTGGGTCAGAGGGTAGGTTTAGGGATAAGAGTTAGAAATGACTGGTAAATGACTGGACGTCAATGCAAAGTCCCCATGGAGACAGAAGAACAAACGAATGTGTGTGTGTGTGTGTGTGTGTGTGTGTGTGTGTGTGTGTGTGTGTGTGTGT